GTCTCTTGTTTACGAATGGGCTCGTTCTCACGATGCATCGGACTGACAAGGTGACGTGAAAATCTCTTCCACTTTAACAGCCTCAACCTCGTCATCGGAATGAGTCATAGACGATCGTTCAGCAGCAGCAGCAGCTGTAAGAGAAGAAGAATTAAAGCTCGCGGCAGATTGCTCGTGACGGTTCTCTCGAGCATTCTCCTCCTTGTTCTTAAACTTGAAGCACTGCTCAATGACATGACCAGACTTCTTGCAGTAACGACATCGCTTGCAAAACGACGAAGAAAAAGCAGAACGGCGGTTTCTAGTGCCCCCTGAGTCAATTTCCATTGGCTCGGGTTTGTTTTCCTAAACACGCAAAGGCGTGGCTTGCTGTTGGTGCGAATTGTTATTGGACTGAGAGCGTGATCGATCCTGAACAAGAACGATGGACGATAGTTCTTACCGCGGACATGGTGCGATCGATCATACTCCAAGGCATCTTCATTGCCGGCGACACTGTTGTACAGCAACTATATTGCACCTCTTTACGCGTAGGACTGACGAGTCCACGTGTGAAGTAAGTGATCTTGTCAAGCTCACTCATGCCGGCCACCTGCAAGATGGCTTCACGGAAGTGAGAGATGTAATCTTTCAAGCTAGAACAATTTTTCTGCTTGAGCGCGTACAATTGGTCACGCAAACGCTCTTGCAAATCCGGAGGCACAAATTCAGCGGTTAGCCTGGCCATAAGGTCCTGCATGCCCTTGATATCACGCTTGTTAAGCTTGTACCAAGCGGCAGCATTTCCTTTAAAGCTCGCAGTAGTAATGGCCAAAATTCGAGAACTTTGTTTGTTGTTGTTGTTGTTTTGCCAATCGATGTTTATGACTTCAAAGAACTGAGCAAGTTGCTCGAAGTCCATCTCAACAGAGTCTCCCATCTTGCCATGAAACTCAGGCTGACGGATACCTTCCACTCTCACTTCACGCTTACCGATGACTTCAAGCAGTTGTTGCTGCTTGTCAACCGTTTCGATGAGTTTCTGCGTGATAGCGCCAGTAGTCCATCCTTGAGGATTTAAGAAAGTCATGGTTAGCTGTCGAATAATTCAGCGATGAAGTACCGAAAAAGGTTGTCGGGTACAGATGGACAGCGACGAGAGGTGCAGATCTGAATTTGATCCAGTTCTTATAGACCAGACACTTACAGCACACACGCAATCAGCGATAACGCAGATAAGGGATGCAACAAAAGGTGCAGGTACTGACTTGATCCGGTTCTTATATACCAGACGCTTAGTGCAGTACACACGCAAAATTGTCTAAGTGCGCTGAAATAAGGTCGAAGCGAAGAAACCCGACGAATTTGGAGGCGAAAAAACAACGACACACGCATACGAGCGGCTTTCCACGTGTCGCGTAGCGACTAGAGAATGAAGGACCCCCAAAAACAGCAAGTGCTACCAGATGTCACGACTGGTGGGAACACGGCGGAAAGAAACAGCGACGAGGGAAGGGTCGCGTGGCGAGGAGCAAAGCGAAGGAGGAGAGTCTAACGATAGGGACTCGAAGGGAAGGCGCAGGAGGCTACTGATGTGCCTCGAACATGGTAAACTGGAAAGTGAGATTGAAATGGTTAGTTGTTCGTCGGCTACGAGGAATTGCTTGTTAGCATTCCCCTCGTTTCCTATGTAAGTATATAAATTTTACTATACTAGATTCTATGCAGTCCTTGAGTCGAATCTTGAAGTAGCGTAGCGTAGTAGTGAACCGCGGTTCATTTGAACCGGGTCAGAATCTTCATAGTGAGTTTAAATGAAAAAATAATGATCGTCATTG